AATTATTCCGTAACATGTCTTATTAGTCACTAGGGAATTCTTACATCAAAGTATCGGTAGAGAACAAAATAATACAATATTTCCAATAATCAATAACGGATATTAATATTTTATTATACAAGATAAAGCCACCCCAAGGAAGTGTTCCGCTTTAGTTTTATCCTCAGCAGCCAACTTTTTTCCGCCTGGGAGAAAGGTTGTTTATATAATAAATTTTATATCACTATTCGAATTTATCACTCTAGTACTCAATTTCCCTCCCAGACTACACGCTGGTTTGTCTTTCTTATACTCAATTATTAGTTTGTCATTTTCTTCGTCATAAGTAAGATTTTTGACCTCGTTATTTTTACAATAATTCTGCACAATGCTAACATCAGGGTCGTCTTTCTTGTCGTCTTTCTTGTCGTCTTTCTTGTCGTCTTTCTTGTCGTCTTTCTTGTCGTCTTTCTTGTCGTCTTGTATTTACGATCAAGTGATCAAGTTGGTGTTCGAAATCTTAAAGTGCCACAGAATACATCACCGACACCAAATACACCCCCCTGACAAAAGAGACGAAATTTTACTAGTAAAACATATGAAAACTCTTTGTTTTCGAAAATCTTTATCGTCCATACGTACTATGTAACCCACAATAATTTTGGTACCGTTTTGAAGCTAATTGATTGTATTTTCAGAAAAAATTATGATATACTCAGTCCTGTTGTCGTTTCAAAGCTGTAGTTCGAGAAAGTGGCGAAATTATGTTACTATAAAATCATATGTGTAATATAGTGCCGTCACTTCATCAAACTACTTCTTCATTACAGTAACTAATTTAAATTCCACACCATTTTTTCGAAAAATACAGTTAATTAGCTTCAAAACGGTACCAAAATCATTGTGGGTTACATAGTACGTATGGACGATAAAGATTTTCGAAAATAAAGAGTTTCATATGTTTTACTAATAAAATTTCGTCTCGCACTTTTTTTGACCATCAAATAATTCCGTAGTAAATAGCAAAGTCGGCTATTTAAATACTGCAAACTTTATTCTTACCCTCTTTAAGAATTAACATTGGATACTAACAGCACAGATAACAAGGAATTTTTTAAAATAAATTTCTTCCTAACAGTTTTGCTATACTTTGCTTTCAGAGGTTGTTACATATTACTAATGTTTATTATCTGAACTCAGTTGAGGTTTTGTTTTTACACTGAATGAGGCGAATTTTTTTCTGGTAATAGTAAGGTGTGGAGATATTTAAAGCAACGATAATGTAATTTTACACACATTTTTCAATTTTTTCAATCATTCTACTGGTATTAATTTAATATAATAGACGCGTATTAGAATTTTTTTATTTGCAAATTCAACCGGAATGGTATTTTTTATTATTAAACTTAAGTATATGGGGCAGGCCGCAACAAAACCAGACAAAGTGAACATTTGTGGCCAACGCAACAAAAATTGGAGGATATTACGTTAAGTTTAATAACATCGACTAACTGCATATGTGTTTGTGCATCCTTTTTTTGTTATCACAGGATCAGCTATGTGCCATTACCATCTTTACCAGCAGAAACAAGCTGATTTTACTTTTCATTTTTAGAAGAAGCAGACAGGCTTTGTAAACACGGAATTAAGATCTAAGTATTGAAAGCAATTTCCATTGTCATAACACTGAACAATTTATTTAATCCAACCGTACTCGATTTTTCACAACTTTCAACAATATGATCCACACAATCTACCGTTTTTTTTCTATAGAGTTTTTTAATCAACCCAAAACTACCATCACACTTGAATTTAGTATTAGTATGTCCAGGTATCATAAAATTTAATTTTATACTTTCATAATAGCCGCAAATTATTAAATATAGGTAAAATCAAATGGTGGCATTATTTTTATTCTGTCATCCCGCATTAGCGCAAGTAATCTTTAAATACTTTTCACCTTTATTCAATTTCTTAATTCTATCAAAAAACCATGCTCAATGTACCATTAGGACCTTTTCTTATAATTTCGTCTTCATCAAGAAC